ATTTAAAAAGAGGGAGAGAGTAGGAGAGGCGTGTGACGGCGGGTGGGTGGGGCGGGAGCCGAGGAGGGGCCCGGGGCGCCGGACAGAGGTGGCGGGAAATGAGGGAGACGCTGCGAGTGGCTGGGGCGAGTGAAGTCTGAGGAAACCTGTGCTTTCCCCGGAGACTTGGAAAGTAGCGCAGATATTAAATACTGTTGTTCAACGCCAGGTGGATATGATAGCTACGGCAGCTCCTTTGGGGGCGCCGGTGGCTACACACAGTCCCCGGGGGGCTTCGGATCGCCGACACCTTCGCAGGCTGAGAAGAAATCCGTAAGTTGAAAGAATATTTTCGATTTATTTTGTCCTGCCCTGACAGGGCAGGATTTTCTCATCCATGTGAGAAAATACAAGCGGAGAAGGAAGGGTGTTAAATAGGAACCTATTTGATAAGTTTGCAAAACGAAATCTCCCCCAATTTTGCATCCAGCGTTTCCTTGGCTTTGTTTTGTTTTTGTTGTGTTTGTTTCATGGTTTTTATCTTTTTACTTTGTAATCCAGTTCTGTTGACTCGCCCTAGGTTCCTAGACCATTGTCATTTGGGGGGTACAGCTTCATACCTCACCCTCGCATTATTTTGAAATTTACCATTATGGCTAGAGAATTAGTATTGGGGCAGAACTGAATTTGTATCAATAGCCTATTTTGCATTCTTATTCTATTTGAGGTTGTTTTTAAATTAAATGTTCGAAAATGATGTACCATGAAAAGAGCATGGTTTTGAAAACATATGTTCCCTCTACTGACGCTCTGCCACGTTATCTTTGGACACAGTGCTTAACCTTTCCAGTTTGGCACCTGTTAACAGGGCATCTCAACGTGAACTGGGCTGCCTGTCTGTGGGTCCTCACCTAGGGCGCTTAAATTCAGTAGTTGTTCTGCAGGCACACACAAAAAGTTAATAATGGGTTTATTTACAAAGGGGAAAGGATAAGTTACAACCCAGGGAAAGAGAGAGAGAGATCCAAGTTAACTAGAGCATCCTACCAGTTCCCCTGACTTGGAACTCCAGTAACACACTGAAAACTCATCAAGAGCCAAAAGACCAGCCCCCGGTCCAGAGAGAGAGAACCTCTAATATGGCTCCCTTATATCCCATATACCCAAAAGTCCCAGAATGCCTGCTTAGCTCCACCCTTGGGTCTCCGCAGTTCTCCCCATGGTATTGCTTTGCTGGGAGTTGTAGTTTCAGTGACTGGAGTAGGGGGTGGAGTTGTAGTTTCAGTAATTGCAGTAGGGGGTGAAGTCCACAAAACTGCAGAGTTCCTTTCCCCCTAACACACCGACTAAATGAGATTACTGATTCAGGTTGTTGTGAAAGTGAATATTATATGTAGAAAGTGCTTTCCCTAAATTGTTCCAGATACTTAAAAAAACAAAAACCCTGAGCATTGGAGCCAGAAGCAGAGTCCTGAATCACTTTACTTTTTAACTGGCAGTGTCACTTTAGTGAAGCAACTGGAACCCTAGAGCCCTCTCTTTTCCCTAGTGCAAATACTAAGGTGAAAAACTGATACTAAACCTATCACAGGTGGTTCTGAGAATTGGTAAATAAATATATAAGACAGTTGCAGAAAGCTGTCTAAATGCTTGTTGATTTTTTTTTTTTTCAGAAATTAGTTTGCATTTGGTAAGTGTTGCTGATTTCATCCTTTAAATACAGGGTTCATCTGGCTGCTTTGGTGTCACTCAGGTTGGGGTTAAGATTTAGTAGCTCTTGTGTGTACAAGTTGATAAACTTCTGCTTCACTGTTAATTCAAGGATGTACGTCCCTAGAAAAGACTTTGCTGATAATTCTAATACATTTGGACATTGCTTTATATTTTTCCTAGAAGTTACTTCTACAGTCCAAAAAGCATTTATTGTTTACCACCTTGTACAATAGAGGCTCAGGGATATCAAGCTTACATAGCTAGGGAGTCAGTGGCACCAGATAGTGCATACGTTATGCTGAACAAACCCTGAATTTGGTGAGCAACTGCTTCTCCCTTTTGTAGTTTTCTTTTTCCCAGGAAGACCACAGGGAGTGCTGATTCTCTTAACTTTGTCTTCTTGGCACCATGAAAGAGAATACAAAAGATGGCTGGTTCTTGGCTTTTCTACCTTAACTTAATTTTCTTCATTCCAGTTATTAGAATGTTCATCTCAGGATCCCTGACTTGGATAGTGTGTTAAGACAGTTTTTCAGAGAACCATGTTGATTATAAATTGGAAACCCAAACCCAGTTCTTTCTTGTTTTTAAATCTAGTGTCTTTCTGCTGCAAATTTGATCATCTTCCTATTTAAAAGTTTCCAAGTATAAACCTGAAAATTTGATCAAGCCATGTGAAATTTTTAGTACTCAACATGTTTTTTTTTCTTTTAAAGATTTATTTATTTATGCATACAGAGCTGGGGTACAGGTCAGAGGTGCAGGGTGGTGAGAGGATTCACCAGAGACAGAGTGGGGAGCAGAACAGGCAGATTGACTGAAATGCACTGCTGAGGGGAGCAGGGGGCAAGATGGGAGAAGTCTGCTGTGCCATGTGGGTCACCTCCCTGGCCAGGGATAGAACTTGTGTTGAAGCCACTGTGGCTAGCTTTGTAGTGCTGCACTTTAACCCGTTGTGCCACCAGAAAGGGCCCAGTTTTTAGTTTTCTTATGCTGAAGTACAGTGAAAATCTCAGCTGTGAAAACAGAAATTATAGTAGATTGTGCACATTTCTATTTATTTATGCATACAGTAGTTGGGTACAAGCCAGAGGTACAGGGGTGGTGAAAGTATTCATCAGAGGCAGAGTGGGGAGCAGAACAGGCAGATGGACAAAGTCCACTGCTGAGGGGAGCAGCTGGCGACCCAGGAGAGGTCTGCTGTGCCATGTGGGTCACCTCCCTGACTGGAGATCAAACTTGAGGTGAAACAGCTGCAACTAGCTTCGTAGTGCTGCGCTTTAACCTGTTGCGCCACCAGGGAGGGCCCAGCATATAACTTTTTAAATATGAAGTACTATAAAATTGAGAACATAGTTGATTCCTTATTAAAAGCAATTGCAGGTATAAAAGGTGAAGAAGAATCGCTGACATAATAATTACTGATATTTATTGAGTGCTTACAAATTACCAGGTAGCATTCTAGGTGCTTTTCCATATATTCAATTTATGAAGCGTGCTGGACACACAGCAGGTTTTAAATGAACAGTAGTTACTATTATGCTTGATTTTCATTTCAGTATTACTGTTACATAAGTAGTTACTGTTTATGAATTTACACTTGCTTTTTTTTTTTTTTCAGAGAGCCCGAGGCCATCACATTATACCCTGCACCGTATCTCAGTTGCTCTCTGCCAACATGGTTAATGAAGTGTTCAAGATTGGGAATGTTGAGATTTCACAGGTGTGTGAAATAACGTGTAAAATAATATGAGGAATGAACTAAAACTTAATTCCTTTATAAAACTTACATATACATGAATGTTGCTTTTGTCCCCTTCTGACCTAGGTCACTATTGTGGGGGTGATCAGACATGCAGAGAAGGCTCCAAGCAGCGTTGTGTACAAAATAGATGACATGACAGCTGCACCCATGGATGTTCGCCAGTGGGCTGACCTGGAAGTAAGCTGGGGCTTTGGAATCAGGGTGGGGTTACTTTGGGAATTTGACCATGTTGCATTTTTTCAGTCTGGACTTTTTTAAAAGCGCTTATAAAAATAACACATTTTAAAAATTTAAGTAATAAATGTTCTAACAAAGGAAAAAATAATAAAAGGACTTCACCTTATTTTAACTTACTAAATGGGCAAAGTAAAAAAAGAATGACAGTGTCTACTTCTAGTGAAAGCTGTAGCTGGCACAGTGCTACTACTAGGTGCCTGGTGTGTTGAATTGTTTATCTAGGGACTTGGTACCACCCTACCCTAATGGTAGGAGGCTATTTATAACCTTGCTCAAAGATCAATAGCTGACCCAAATTGCCCATCATTAAAACCAGCGCACCACAGTTAAAGATTTACATTAAAGAAATTCTTAAGATTCACTTGTAAGAATGATGATCATAGCGTTATTCATAATAATGAAACAAGCAATTTCAAAATGCTAGTACTAGGCTATTAATTAAGTCATGATATATATATTTAGAAAACACTGCAAATGAAAGAAATATTTACCATACATTGTTTGGAAGAAAAGGCAGGTTAATTGCATGCATGGTATGGCCCCTTTTTCCACAAGATGAATTATGAAGAAAACAGGCCAAAATACATGGTTTTTATCATTTTTATTTTTTAGTTGGGCAGGACTGTTGATTTTTTTTTATAGAGATATATATACACATACTTTTTAATATTCATTATAGAAAAGTTGGATGATAAATACTGTATGCTGTTTCACTTCAAGAAATTATAAGTGACCTGTGAGAAATAACTTCGTATTTGTGTGTTCTTTATTGCTTGCTCCTCAGAACAATACAGAATAATTTATTCACCAATTATTGGAAGAATGAATCTAAGCTTCATTGCTTGGTTCTAGGTATACAAAGATTTAAAAAGATAGTCCATGCAATCAGGTGGGAAGGAAGATATTATAGATAACTAGTATTACACGCTTTTACAAGTACAAAATATCATGGGGCCTCCCTGGTAACCTACACGTTAGATCTCAGCTCTGCCACTGCTTTGGCCTGAGTTTGATCCCCAGCCACAGAGCTACCCACATATGGTGCAGCAGACCTCTCCTTTCTCACCTAATGCACCCCTTAGCAGTATATTTTAGTAAACCTGCCTGTTCTCTCCACTCTGTCTCTGGTGAATCCTCTCTAACCCTTCACCTCTGTCCTACACGTCTAGCCTATTTCTTTTTTTCTTTTTTTTAAAGATTTATTTATTTATTCATACAGAACTGGGGTACAGGCCAGAGGCTCAGGGGCGGCGAGAGGCTTCACCAGAGACAGAGTGGGGAGCAGAACAGGCAGATTGACGAAGTACACTGCTGAGGGGAGCAGCGGGCGGGTCAGGAGAGGTCTGCCGCACCATGTGGTCACCTCTGGGGCAGGTGGGAATGGAACTCATACGGAAGTGGCTTTAGATTCTCAGTGCTGTGCTTTAACCCGCTGCGCCACCAGGGAGGGCCTTTAGCCTATTTCTTTAATAATTAAATTTTAAAAGTATCATAGTTACTTATAAAACGTTTAAGTCACCTAAAATCCCACATCCAAGAAATGACTACTGTTATGACATATTTTGGCAAATCCCCATTCAGACTTTTTTCTCCTGAGTATCAATAGCTGTATTGAATATAATCTTAACAGTTTGACATAAAGCATAATTAGATATGCAGCTGCTCATATCTGTCTTTTTCACTTAAAACTGTAGCAGAGCTAGTTTCTTAATGTTATAAGTATAGGAGCATTTAGCTTGTTTCTAGTCATTTACTATTACAGGTAAAGCTTTAGTGATTTTCTGTACATCTTTTCATGAATATGATGTAATCTTTTTTATTTTTTTAGAGATTTATTTATGCATACAGAACTGGGATACAGGCAGGGGAGTAGAGGAATCACCAGAGACAGAGTGGAGAGCAGAATAGACAAATGTACTGAAGTACACTGCTGAGGGTACCAGCGGGTGAAACGGGAAAGGTCTGCTGTACTATGTGGGTCAGCTCCCTGGCCAGGGATTGAACTCGTGCTACAGTGGCTGCGATAGCTTCATAGTGCTGCACTTTTAATGTGTTGCACCACCAGGAAGATCCACATTCACATTTTTTTATTACCTTCCATAAAGGTACCAGTTTACACTTAATTGGTGCATGAGAGTGCACAGTTCTCCACATTCTTGCTCACAGTGAATTTCAGGAATCCTAAATTTCCATATGGTGGTTAAAGAATACAGTTTTGGCTGAGAATTTTCTTTTTTTGTCTTTAGTGAGGTAGTGGTAGTTGTTTTGTTTTTAACTACATTTAATCTTATTTTGTGGAATTTTTTTTAAATGTCTCTAAGTTCTTTTTTAAGATTTATTTATTGATGCATACAGAACTGGGGTACAGGCTAGAGGTATAGGGGTGGTGAGAGGGGGTAGCAGCAGGTGGGTCAGCAGAGGTCTGCCGCGCCATGTGGGTCACCTCCAGGGCAGGTGGGGATCGAACTCAAGCTGAAGTGGCTTTAGCTTCTTGGTGCAGTGCTTTAACCTACTGTGCTACCAGAGAGGTCCCTAAATGTCTTTTAAGTTCTTTTATTCTCTCATCCCCAGCAGTTAGTCTTTCACCAAAATTATACAATTTCTGTAACTTGTCTTTCTTTTAACTTTGAAAAACTTTTTATAGTCTCAAAACTTTTTGAAGATTAATTTTACTTATTTATGCATATAAGCACTGGGGTGTAGGCCAGAAGTGTGGGAACTAAGAGGATTCACCAGAGACAGAGTGGAGAACAGAACAGGTGGGTCTGTTGAAATACACTGCTGAGGGAAGCAGTGGGCAAGCTCAGAGAGGTCTGCTGTGCCATATGGCTCAGCTTCCTGGCTGGGAATTGAACTCATGTTGCAGTGGCTGGTGATAGTGCTTTTAGAAAAGCAAATTCTAAAAGGAGAAACTAACTGGTTTGATATTAAGGATGCTTTGTCATAATTTGCAAATTTCTCTTTCTGGATATAATTTAGAAGTACTATAGAGATTTCACCAACATTACTAAAACCTTAATAATATGTTTGCATTATATCTGCTAGGATCACAGTGATGAAAACACTGTGGTTCCTCCAGAAACATATGTGAAAGTGGCTGGCCATCTGACACCTTTTCAGGTAAGTTAAAAAAAAAGGCAGTTAATGCATTCAGTGAGATAGTTTTTAATTCATACCTGAGTTTAGCATTCAGCAATTCCTCGCTTAACAATATCATATTAGAAACTGGAACTTCAAGCAGAACTGTGCCCAGTGAAACCAATTTTGCCATAAATTAGTATAAAAGAGTTAAGTTCCTCCTAACATTTCTAAAAGTATCACCAAATTTATAAAAACCCCAGATGCCTCTGATCATTTTTATCCATTCATTTTCTAATCTGCTTATTCCAGTTCAGGCTATGGATGGAGAGAGAGTATCTTGGTAGCTCAGGTATGACCCTGGACAGGTTTTCCTCCATTGCAGGGCCCACTCATAGTACAGCCACCAGATGTGAGGAGAGCATACAAACTCCTCAGCTGGAGTGTGTTGCATTTTTTTTTTTTCACTTATGAGTGTCGTAAGACCTCTTTTAATTGAGGACCTGCTGTAAAACCTTTTCCCATATTAGCAAAAATATTATAACCAAGCTCTTTTAGAGCGGTAGTGTTTTGACCTGAAGTAGATTTGAATGTATTTATCTGTTGTTCACATTTTTCTGTGTTTTAATAGAACAAAAAGACCCTTATAGCCTTTAAGGTCATGCCCCTGGAGGATATGAATGAGTTCACCACACATATGCTGGAAGTGGTCAATGCACACATGATGCTGAACAAAGCTAATACCCAGGTGGGTTTTTTCCCTTCTTTGGGAGAACATAGATAGTTCCTGTGCTCTGGCTCTCATTTTCTTGACATTTTGAAGGTTAAGCCAAAAGGAAGGCTTTGCTCAGTTTTCAAAACATTGTTTCCATCGGCTTTGCCTTTTTATTTTCATGCATATGAAGCACTCATGTTCCCCTTAGAATGATGAGTTTCTTTGATGCCACTGGGTTGAATGGTAAAGCCTAAGCAACCATCAAGGGTAGCACCGTAACTGTAGCTTGACCCTTTAGCTCCTCTTTGTATGCAGAGAAAACCCCAAGGAGGACAGCATTTTGCTGCTTTCCTTCTAATCTATTGATTGACTTGGAAGCTGTGCACCATTGTTTTGTCCCTAAAATGTCTCACCACTATTTTCTGTTGTATGAATTCAATTTGACAAACCTACCTGGAATCATACACACAAAGGGTTTGTTGATTCTAATATTAAAATGTCTGGTGGCAAGATGGAGGATTGATTATAGAAGGAGACTGTCGAAAACAAATGAGCAGTAAGGATGCTATTGCATCCTGTTCTGTACTCAGCACTTTGTTAATCACTTGGGATACAGAGCTAAATTCATTCCTTCATTTGCAAAATGTTCAGCCTAGTATGTGCCACTCATTATTCTAGGCCCTTACAACACAGCTGTGAACAGATGGATGAGGTGTTTGCCTTCCTACTTGTTGTCTTGAGAGACATAGACAAAAAACAAATTATGTAATTTTGAGTAGTTATAGGTACTCGGAAATAGAGTAGGAGAGAGTAAAAAGGAGTAAGAGTGGTAAAATTTTAGATGGGAAAAGGATATTCCAAACAGAGGGAATAAAAAGGTGCTGGGAAGCTGGAAAGAACGGGCTGTATCTGAGACCAGTAACAAAGCCAGGGTTTGTGTAGGGAAACCAGTGACAGGTAAAAGTAAGGGGTATCGGCAGGGAAATAGAACCCAGATCAGATAGGGTTTGGAAGCCGTAGTAAGGACTGATCTCTTTCAGTTGATTCTGAACTTTCAGAAGCTTTTGACTAGGGAGTAATGTGGTTTGATTTGGCTGCTATATGGAGAGTAGATCATGAGACACCAAGAATAGCTGTGGACAGAATTCAAGAGAATGATAACAGCAGTGATAATAGAAAGTGGTTGAATTCTGATAATTTTGAAGGTAGCATAAACAGGACTTTGGTAGGTTAGATAGAAGACACCCAAAAAAGGGAAGGTTCAAAAATGCCCTGGCATTGGGGCAGGGGTGACTAGATGAAGATAGCATGTTTGGAGAGTAAAATCGAGACTCCTATTTTGGTCCTTTCCCTAAGGTGAAATCCAGCTAGAGGTCCAGGTGGAGAACAAAATGGATAGTTGAATGTACAAGATTGGAGCTCAAGAGAGGTTGGGGCTGGAGATAGAGCTATGGGAACCATTGTCAACATCAGTGAAGTGTCACACCACCTCAGAGGAGATGAGATGCTAGGAGTGAGAGCTCTGGGACACACTAACCTTTGGAAGTCTGGACACAGAACAGGAACTAGTGAGAGTAAAAAATCACCAGTTTTTCTAACCAGGAAATACGGTTTTGCAGATGTTTTGGAAAGAGTGTTTTAAGAAAGCAGGAGTGGGACATAGTTGTAGCGTGCTGCCTGCAAGCCAAGTAAGATGAGAATGCTCTGCCGCCACACTTGAAAACAGGGTCTTCAAAAGAAAGTCTTCAGGAAAGGGCAGGGGAAAGTGTTTTAAAGAGAGTGGGGTTGAATAGAAAGTGTAGGTTATTTCATTTCTGTATTTCATAACATATATGCATCAAATATATGATGAAAATGGCTTTAAAATGAGGAAGGTAGGGAGTGAAAACTAGGAATACGGACAATTATATTGAGCAGTAATTAAAATAGTCCTCACCCTCAAAAAGAGTTTGCTTTAAGTTTTGAAGGTTCGGATCATTTAAGGAGTGGCTGGGTGTCATGGAACCACAGAGAAGAGTTCCCTAACCTGACCTGACAGAGATAGGCCCCCAAGAGGGGGTGGTGTCTTTAAAACCATGAGGCAAGGCCACCAGAAACGGGACTTAGGCTTTTTCAGCCGAGGTGTTTGGAAAAGCAACAGCATTTAGTTCAATGTTAACATCAGAAAATCTAAGATTCCTGTTTTACCAGTAGGAAATATGAAAGTTTCTAGCTTCAAAACAAGGAACGACGATTGATATTTATTTAAAATTTATTTTATATATGTATGTAAGAGCTAGGGTGTAGAGATGCCAAGGGGGATTTACTGGGGGTGAGAGGATTTACAACCAGAGACAGAGTGGGGAACAGAAAAGGTGTTACTGACTGAAATACACTGTTGAGGGGAGCAGCAGGCAAGATAGGAGAGGTCTGCTGCGCCATGTGGGTAGCTCCCTGGGTGAGGATCGAACTCCTGCTACAGTTTTTGCGGATAGCTTCATAGTATTGAGACTTAACCCCTTGTTCTAGTTGAGGTAGATTTTTGAATGTCCAGGAGTTTTGTGGGGTTTTTTTTCCCCACAGGCAGGGGGAGCCATTTCAAAACTTCTGTTTCTGAGAGTTTCTGTTTTTGTTTTAAAGACATTTAGTTATACATATTATACATTTATACATACTTATTTATTTAACTGGGGTGTAGGCCAGAGGTGTAGGGGTGAGAGGACTCACCACAGACAAGAGTGAGGAGCAGAACAGGCAGATCTCCTGAAACACTGCTGAGGGGAGCAGCAGGCAGGTCAGGATAGGTCTGCTGTGTAATGTGGGTTTGTTCCTTGGCTGGAAAGTAATTTTATTATGAAGTGTGTGCGCTTATCTCTAGAAAGTGGCAGGGAACAAGGATTTGTGGCCTAAGAGGAGTTCCAGGATAAGCTCTTGGTGGACAGGTAGAAGATGTTGACAGGGGTACTAGGAAGGTATAGTTTGAGAGGGAAATGCAGAACCAGGAGAAAATCTGTCGCGAAGCCTAGCAGAGGAGTGTGGTGAGCAGCATCTGTTCCTGAGGAGTCCTGTTGGCGAGTGTCTAGTGGCAGCAGTTTCAGAAGCATACATGCACCAGTAGTCATCTCTGTGCCCTTTGCTGCCCGCCCTTGTATCGCTTCATTCCTAGTTAACCCTCAATGCTTGAGTGATTGATCACTGAGGATATCACTGTCGCCAATTTCCGGGTAATTGTCTTCTCAGCACAAGTTTTCTTCTGGTTCCTCACACCACAAAGAAGAGAAAGATCCAGCAGCTGCCTTTTTCTCTGATTGATAATATGTGCATCAGAGGATTACTTTATCTTCCTCTGAAACACTGAGATAAAAGACAAAAGGAGCAATATTGGTGAAAACTACAATTATCGGTTAAGGGGAACATGAAGAAAAAGATTTGAAAAAATGACATCAAAAATACAAACATGGGAAGAAGTGTGAATAGATAAGTACCCTTATCAACATCTTCTGCCTATCCCCGAAGGGCTGATAGTCCCTGAGTGTTATCCTCAAAATTAATTTGCTATCAGTTTGAGGTACTCTTTAGATTTGTTCTTCCCAAATAGGTACTTGATTGAGGGGAAAATTCTGTTAATTTTTTTTTTTAATACTTATTTATGCACACATGAACTGGGGTACTGGCCAGTGGTGCAGGAACAGTGAGAGGATTCACCAGAGACAGAGGGGAGCAGCGGGCAGGTCAGGAGAGGTCTGCTGTGCCATGTGGATCACCTCTGGGATTGGGGATTGAACTCACACTAAAGTGGCTGCAGCCAGCTTGCAGTGCTGTGCTTGAACCTGCTTCGCCACCAGGGAGGTTCTGGTGAATTTTCTAATGTTGTGAACTTAATTCAGCCCCCAGCATCCAGACCAGACCTAGGAATGAGTGGAGCAGGAAACTTTAACAGCTTCACGCCAGCAAATGGCCTCACTGTGGCCCAAAACCAGGTAAAGGCCACTTGAGTGGCTCCATGAATGCAAAACACAAACATTCCTAAATTTTGTAACTTCCTTATGATTCTAATGCTAAGTACCTGACTTGTTTCTTTGTTATAAAGGGACTCTCATGTTTCCATGGGGGAGCAGATTCAGAGTAGCTGCTAAAATCTTTCTGGTTGGAATCTTCAGGTACTGGATTTGATCAAGGCTTGTCCAAGACCTGAAGGATTGAACTTGGAAGAGCTCAAGAGTCAACTCCAACATATGACCAGCAGCTCAATCAAGTGAGTGTATCCCTTTCACCTCACCAGGGTTTCCTGCTAATGAGAAGTGAGTTTTAAAAAACAAAACCAAACTACCTGTGACTGACCGCAGGAGGGGAGTTGGTGCTAGTGGAAAAAATAAAAGACAGACAAAGGCGGGCTCCTGTCACATGCCTCGTTTGTTTGTTCAGCAAACACTAAGGCCGGTGACGTACAGGGGAAATAGTTTTGCATAAAAACGGACCTGACCGCTTGCACGAATTTATTCTGGAGGAGCAAGGTGCTTTTCGCCGGGTCCTAGTGTAGGGCTGACCTGTGGGACTGCTCCCGCTGGAGAGGTGTGTCCACCAGGCAGTTAGCCTTGATTTTGTTAGTTTTTCTAACCTCCGTGTCCAGAGAAGGGTACAGATAGGATCCGTAGAAAGTAGGACAATTATTTCTCTCAGTAACTGTGGTTATGATGATGAGGTACAAAATGATTGTCATTAACTGTTACTGGCACTGATCCTGATAGCCTTGAGAGGGGTTTGAAGGTGCTAAACCACACTAAAAAGCCCTTTTCTTTATTTCCTGCAAGTCCACTTCCTAGAGGGGGAGCTGCTGGGTTAGCGGGTGGCAAGAGGAGGACTGTTAATAGGAGATTTTAGGTGCGCACTGAACTGTACTTTAGAGCCTGTTTTGATCTGCTAAGACTGGTACTTGGGCTGAGGCACGGTTGCTTTTGCAGTTTGGAGGGGCGCTCGGCAGCCCAGTCACTGTCCCTCTGAAGGACTCAGTTTTGCCATTCTGCCGGCATTTCTTCCTGCATGATCCTTCTGTGAGCATAATGGTGTGAATTCTTCTCTAAGGCAGAAGGTGGGGCTGAGTGAAGGATACATTTTGGATATCCAGAGGCAGTTTCTGTTCTGCGTTGGTTACAAAATGAGCCCCTTTTTCTTTCTTTCCAGGCAAGCTGTGGATTTTCTAAGCAACGAAGGCCACATCTATTCCACTGTGGATGATGATCATTTTAAATCCACAGATGCAGAATAACTGGATCTAGTTGGGCCCCTAAGATACTTTCCAGCTGGACCTATTTTCAGTCTGTTGTGCATATATGCAGGGCTATCCTTTTGAAATTCACTAAAGTTTTTTGAAGTTCCAAGAGATGTAAACCTGGGTTGAACTTCATAAGTTACAAACTAGTCACAACATCAGGCTAGGTGGAATTGAAAGTGAAGTGCGGGGGAGCGTGGGTTATTAATTGAAATAGTAGGCCAGCACCTCTTACTGCACGTTTCTTGTCGAGAGCCAGTGAAGACGGCAGAAGGCCGTGGTCCTGTTAGCAGAGAGCTAACCAAGAATCTACTAACCTCTGCCTGTTTTTGTTCCCCATTTTGGTTACATGGTGTTATTTTCAGAATTGTACATTTCTCATCTTGTCACAACTGCTGCCTGGATTTGTTTTTTATAAAGGTGAGGTCTTAGAGCGGTGGACTTGGGGCAGAGGTGAGGAAGAGATGTTATTTTGTTTTGTACAAAAGTACATTCATATGTTTAATAAAATAGTTATATTATTGCAGTGATCTGTGAAAATGTTATTTTTTTTTTAAACGGGTGTAACAGATAGTGACTTGAATTTGAAATCCTGAGTTGCCTCCTTTTTAGTTAGAATCTTAAGCAAGCTTCCTTGCTGAGGGACTGTCTCCTTCATTATGAAAAGAGAAGTTATTTCCTTATAGGTTTTTTATGAAAATTGAATGAAATAAAGCTTATGAGACATTTAGTATTGCTAGTAATAGGGGTTATAAGTGGGCCTGAATTTTGGTTTTTTTTAGACAAAAACTTTTTTAAAGATTTATTTATTTATGCATGCAGAACTGGGATATGGAGTACAGGCCAGAGGTACGAGGGGTGAGAGGATTCATCAGAGTCAGTGGGGAGCAGAACAGGCACATCTACTGAGGTACACTGCAGTGTGGAGCTGCGGGTGGGTCAGGAGAGGTCTGCTGCACCAGGTGGGTCAGCTCCCTGCTCAGGGATTGAACTCAGGCTGCAGTGGCCGTGACAGCTTCACAGTGCTGTGCTTTAACCCACTGTGCCACCAGGGAGGGCCCATTGGGCCTGAATGCTGACTAGCAGTATGTGATAACATCACTGAGCGAATATCTACTCTTTGACCTCAATTTGAGACTAAAGGCTTTTACCTTTTTTTAGCCTAATTAATCAGTCCTGTTACCTTGTGGGAGAGGAAACACAGATTTTCCATGAATCAGAAAGTAATGTGCCTTAAAAAAAAGAATTCGGCCCTCCCTGGTGGCACAGCGGATTAGGACGCAGCACTGCAAGCTAGTCGCAGCTGCTTCAGTACATGTTCGATCCCTGGCCAGGAGGCGACCCACATGGCGCAGCGGGCCTCTCCTGACCCGCCCGCTGCTCCCCTCAGCAGTGTGCCTTGTCGATCTGCCTGTTCTGCTCCCCACTCTGTCGCTGGTGAATCCTCTCACCACCCATGCACCTCTGGCTTGTACCCCAGTTCTGTATGCATAAATGTTTAAAAAAAATTTCTGAGACAAGCTAATGGTGTGTGACATGCAAATGAAGGATTCTATAACTGTTTTAGTTGTTTCTAAATGAGATCCAGCAGCTGTGTGAAGAAGCCCCCACCCTCCCAGTTTCTGATAACCTGGCCGTTATTTCCTATATGTGCAATCGAACAGTCAGGTGTTGGAAGTCAGCCAAGCCAGTATGTTTGTTTACAAGTAAGTGTGACTTTAGGTACATGATAGGTGTTCTCATGGTTGGTGGAGTTTCTCTTTCTAGTTATCAGACTAATGCCCTCACCCTGTCAAGGCGGTAGCAATGCTGGGCAGAAATCTTTCAGTTTTGAATCTTGGTTTTAGCACTTTAAAAGTACTAATTCTCATGTTTATTGGGTCCCCATTGGTCAGGTCCTCGGAATGGTGTCACTGGACCTGTGGGTCTGTGTTCCCAGCAGCACAGCAGCTGCTCACTGGTTCTGAATTCCTAAGTAGTGGGCCTGCTGCTCCGCAGCACATGGGAACTCCGGCCTTTGCAGGAGGCATTGCGTTTTGGGTATTTGTGGTCACTTGGGTGTCAGACACATGTTCTTGCACATTGTTGAGACAGCAATAGTGACAGTATGACTCGAGTTTTAGAAATCCCCTGTCATAGCCTAACAGGGTCCAGCCTGCTCTTAGGAGAATCGATACAGCAAGGCAGTGAGGCTTCTTGAAAAACAAGAAGCAGGGCCCTCCCTGGTGGCGCAGCAGGTTAAAGCACTGCACTAAGAAGCTAAAGCCACTTCAGCATGAGTTCGATCCTCGCCTGCCCCGGAGGTGACCACATGGCGCGGCAGACCCCTCCTGACCCGCCCGCTGCTCCCCTCAGCAGTGTACTTCGTCAGTCTGCCTGTTCTGCTTCCCACTCTGTCTCTGGTGAAGCCTCTCACTGCCCCTGCGCCTCTGCCCTGTACCCCAATTCTGTGTGCATAAATAAATCTTAAAAAAAAAAAAACAAGTAGTACTATATAGGGCTTACCTAGAGAAAGTTCCAGAGATTAGTACCTGATGTGGAAGGGTCATTTGTTTTTAAAAATGCAGTTGCATTGATAAATATTTTTGAGAAAGCATCGTCAGTTTTTATATTCATTAATTTAGCAGTGATATACAGCTATTATTGATGTTAACACATTACAAAACATTCACAAACAGAAATATAAAAGGATGTTAAAAATAAATATGAAGGGATAATACCACTTCCCCAGAGGGTCTCCTTGTGTAGTTGAGGAGTGGATGCCCACTGAATCCCGCGGCTCTGGGGGCAGCCCAGCCCCTCTAGAACCCTTTCCCCATGGTTAGAGGCAGAAAGGCAAGAGTGTCCCGAGGTGGGGTCTGCCTTGGGTCCCTTCGCAGCCAGCTCTGATAAAACGTGCACGGTTGGGGTTTTCAAATGTTTCCTTTTAAGCCCTAAGCCCTGCTTTCCCTGCCGTGAAATTGCTTCATTTCTTCTCATTGCAGTGTTTGCCCTCTCAGGAAGGACCTTCTGAGGCAACTGGTAGCCTTCTCTGCTCTGCTTGTGATCTTGCTCAATCTGGCACTAAGATTTCAGTGCAAATGTGAAAGTGAAAAATAGCAACATTTGCGTGTGAGCTTGGTTCCCAGTTTTGTGTCTAGGAGAAGCTGTCTTGCTTGCTACTTGTCCCAGAGTACTCTGCCTTGGGGTTGTCCTGTACAGATTAGATTATCTTTGAGAATGGCGTGGAAATGTGAAGATGGGGTGCTGGGCACTGGCCTGACAGCCTGTGGTAGCTGCTCAGTAGCAGTCTGGAGAAGTGTGTCCAGGGGCATGGAGGCCAGGAGGCCCGGGAAGGACAGGGCCTCTGGAGGGGTGTCGGCAGGCAAAGGAAGGACACACCCAGGTGCAGTGTCTTGACTCCAGCTCTGGAAATGTGTCTCTTCCAGCCCTACCTCAGCTGCTAACTCAGATCATCTTATTTTCTCTTACCTTTGACAACCCAAGTAATTAGTTCCATGACTGTACAACCCGGGAAACCAGAGTCCCGCCACTTCCAGGAAATGAGGCCTGTGGTGTTACCTCATTGAGCAGGCACGGGCTGACCTCAAAGCTGATTTAGTCTCTGTATAAACACAGACTTGTTTTGTTGTGTTACTTCCATCCCACTAAGTGGTCAGGTTCTCCAGCCTGTCACTGGGCTGTCCACAGTCTCATACACTGAAGCCCTGGCATGGCAGAGGGTGCAGGCGTGTGGGAAGAGGATCGGTGTGGAGACAGGCACAGCTGCGTGACCCCGGCCAACAAGAACAACACTGACACGTTTATTGATACTGTGTGCCAGGTACTGTGCTAACTGCTTTACCAAGCTTATCTCATTTGACCCTTAAAACAAGCCCGTGAGGTAGCTTGGTTTCATTTTATCTGGGAAGAAACTGAAGCTTTGAGAGGTTAAGTAAACTTGCTTATAACTGGGATCCCAGGCTCATGCCTGGTCTGCGCCTAAAGCACTCGGAAGCTCAAGCATGTTTCCTAACTTAAAATAAGACCCGGGTCCGCCTCAGAGTAGAGCATCTGCACACAGAGCCTAGTGACCGCTCTTCATTTCCCAGAGGCGCAGATGTCACTTTTATTCTGTGGTTTTACGGTGACGTCCTCCTGGACAGTCACTACAGCTGTCAGGTACTGAGTGCTGCGGAGACGAGGAAGACAGTTCCGGACCCAGAGGCCCAGCGCCTGGCGGGGAGGGGCTGGCTGACTACAAGGGCTCTTGGGGTGGTGGGGTCAGGATAGTCCCATCGCTAGGAGGCACGAGGCACTCGTGGGTGGTCTCTTTGTTCCTTTGTGTTCCGGCCAGGGGAACCCTGGACTCAGGATTGGGTAGGACCCAGTGTCTCCTCTGGACACCAGAGCTCTGAGCTATCAGGTGCTGGCTCCAAAGAAGCAGCTCTCAGGGGCAAGAACCTCACACCTACGGGAGGCCAGTGCAGTGCCCACCCACAGTACCACTTGCTGTCCACAGTCTAGTCTCTGAGACCTCGTGCAAGATTGCTGAAGGCCGGCAGCGGATGGCTGGTGGCTGGGATTCCCTGAGAAGCAGCAGGTAAGAGGCGTGGCTCCTCCAGCACCTACAGGGTCTTCTGAAAGTACTCAGACACTTCTTCATAGTTGTGGTCACCCGCATCTGCAAGAGAGTCCACGCCAGTGAGGATTTCTGGCCATAAGCAGGTTCCTGCCCCTCTTCAAGGCACATTTTCCTTACGTGGACAGGGAAAGGTTGGCCTAGAGGGTCTAAGGCCCTTGCTAGCCCAGGTCACAATTTGCAGAAGCCTCCCCCTGGAGGCCTTGGCGATTGCAGTGTCTTGGGGGGAGCTCATTTTCCTTGCTGGGACTCTGGAGGCCCTGGGACACGGACAGTGGGGTCCCTGCTGCCTAAGCTTACACCATACGGGCCTGTCCGCCCTTCTGGAGCCACAGAGGATCTGCCCAGGAACAGAGCCCTGCTGAGGGGAGGGCCACACCCCTGCTGCCTAATGCAGCAAGGAGCAGCGTGGGGAAGGGAGCTGTATGTATTTTTTTCCCCCATATGTGAATGTTTATAAGGGCTTTTGTCATGACTACTGAAAAAAAGGAAACAACCCAAAGCCTATTTTTAAACTCTATGGTGTATGCATATAATGAAACACTTGTCAGTAATGAAAAGAAACAAACTACTGCTACAGCCCATAACATTAAATGCTAAGAAAAAGAACCCATAGTAAAGGCTACAGACTTATGTCTCCATGTTATCTTCAAAAAATGCACAACTATCAGGATGGAAATCAGATAGGCTATTGCCAGGGGGCAGTGGCTGACTGCAAAAGGGCACTAGAGACTGGGGGGGGGTGATGGAACCCTTCATTCTCAACCAGATGCTGCCCAGGCGCATGACTGCAGGTGAACAAGCCAGCAGCTCCAGCAAAGCAGCACTGGGAGAGAAAACAAAATGCTGACGGACCCACCTGCGCCCTTGGCGTGGGCCTTTGCTTGCTTGAGGTTCCTGTGGCTAGGGATCTTGCTGTACACTTTTGATCTGTCCTTGGCGAGCTCTGGCAAGGTCTTCACCTTGGGTGTGGGTAGCTGAGGGGGTTGTGGTTCCACGACTTGAGAAGACTAAGTGGAAGAAGCAGCAGAAGTCAACAGGGTTCCAAGAAATCAGGCAACAGAGTTCATGTAAATCCCTCCAAATGTCATTTCCTCTGCTTCCCTCTTCCTCAGGACATTGGCTACAAATACATGATATGTTCCTTGACAGGACAGGAGTGAGAGAGGACAGGGTGGGGACAAGAGACAGGGTGCCCCAGAATTTCTCCACAGGGGTTTGGCCAGTGGCCCTCCAGTCTGCTGAAGGGAGAGAAGTGGTACCAAGTCCCAGAACAGAGTGCCAGAGCTGAGGGGTCTGAGCTGTTACTGAGCTTCTTGTGCTACAGGCACATCTGTTCATCTCGTCCTGCGAGCAGCTAATTAAGTCCCCACTTTGGCTTAGTGTGTTGTGAAAACCTTGCACAGGGCATCCTAGTTGGACTGTGGCTCAGACCCCGAATAGTGCCTAAAGGTCATTCCACCAATCATGCTTTGGTGAGCAAACATATATAGCAGAGTCTGACGCTTAGAGGGGAAAAGTCTCCCTTTTATGGGCAAGCAGGGACTGGGCCCAAAGTCCTTCCTTCAGGAGCCAAGACAGGGACTGAGCGTGCTCAGTTCTCTACAGTCCTGTTGCACGGCCTGCATTTACATTCCTTGACCCATCGGGAAACAACTGGCCTACCCCTCCCCAGAGAGGAGCCCCCTCTGGAGCGGCTCAGCATCAGCCTTTTCACTGCCTGAGGCACAAAATAGAAGTGTCCCCAAACCGAAAAACAAAATGCTTGTCAGGTTCCAGAGTGCTTTTTGTGTAGATCACTCCCTCCTGTTCTCAGCTGAGCAGTGTTAAGTGCTCAGGCCAGAGGGTCAGACTCAATTTCAAACCCCACTTGTAGCTGTGTGACCTTGAGTAAACCACTTGACTTCTCTGTGCCTGTTTTCTCAACTATAAGGAAAGTGCCTGTGCCCACCACAGACCATGAGAGCTGGGGGGGGATGCACATAGGTGCCTGCCACAGAGTGCGCCCAGTGGAGCCACCGACAGAACAGCTCTGAGCTGGTGATGTTACCCCACACTCAGCCGTGCCCAGAGCAGTAGAAAGCAGAGTAACCAGCAGGGATGCAGCTTAGCCTTCCTGCCTGGTGTCCAGCTCCTTCCGAGTCCCAGACTCGCTTAGGTTCAGTTCAGCACACTCCACCTCTTGCCGCCTCGTAGTGGGGAAGTCCCTACCCCCTGGGATGCTCATGTAGCAGGTACTTGAGTACAACTAAGTGAACTAAAAGTGAAGGCCCCCACCCCCACCCCCAAGCTACCTGCACCGAGCAGCACAAATACAGAAGGGGCAGGAGGTCACTGCCCAGAAGTCTGCGGAGCCTCACCTGGGAGAAACAGCATTTCTGACTCTAGGCCTGGGACCCCGCGCCCTGTGGGCATTTCAGGGGTCCAGTGTGGACTGGGAAGTGTGCAGTAAAAGGCGGAACTGAAGTCAGCTTAGAAAACATCCTGGGCGCCACAGAACAAGGTCCCTTTGTAATAGGGAGCCGCCAGGGATTTCAGAAAATGGGGCCAGGCCCATCAGTGACCAGGGAGGGACCTGAGAGGCCGCTGTGTGGGCAGTAGAAGAGGCTGCAAACAGTGTAGGTGACAAATGACCACACTTGAGCTAAGGGGCGTCTGCAGGGATGGCAGAAAGGTCGAGCACCGTGACGGTGGGGCTGATGCTGGTGCTCTAGTTCTGGCCTCCTGATTGTGAACTCTGGGAGGGCCTCAAGGTCGCATTTTATCAACCATAAAGTCTGAATCTCACATCATCAGAATTGTCAAGCCCAAAAAGGAATAATAGTTACTAAATGTGCAAGTTGACACACCCTCGTTCTACATGACTAAGAAATGTGATGCAGAAGAAACTGGTGAGGGCCCCAACCCCTGGCCCTCCTCACTCACAGGCACCTTGGCGCCGCTCTCCTGATGAGTCTGTTTCTTCTGCTCCGTGGGGCCCTTATTCTTCGGGGGCCTAGGTGGGGGCTCCTGGTTCTTGAGGACAGGTAACTTCCGAAGGCGATAGTAGAAGGCATCGGTCAGCTCATGCACTGTGGCTCTGGGGACAGACCCCCCCAGCTGGCCCTGCGGCTCCCCAGTCGCCACCACGGTCAGGTCCAGCCACCGCGGCGGGATCTCGAAACACATCCCGGGCTCAGTGTCCAGGCTGACCACTAAGAAAGGTTCTGTGATCTTCTCCTCCAGCCGCAGGCCCAGGAATGACGGGAGAGGGTCAGCGGGCTGGTTGACGTCCTTGGTCACCACCTTGACCTCACAAGGCAATGAGAAGTGGGCAGTCAGGTCCACCAGGCTGTAGCGCCGGCCATCATTCATCTCCTCCACGAAGCCGCCAGGGTAGTAGAGGGGCACCAGAATCCGCTCTTGGTCCTCCTCCATCTCTTCATAATCTGCCTCCTCATCCTGGTCATCAAGCCGCTGACACACCAAGACATCTATGTCTGTGCCGTGTGCCCCGCAGGCCTGGCCAGATCCCAGCACCTCCAGTCTGTCACCCATGGCCAGGGATGTGAACTCAGTGTCCATCTCTTCACAGTCCTTGGTGGCCACCACCCGGAGCTTTCTGCCTGGCTGGAGAGCACCCAGCAGGTCATAGGCCGTGGGGAAATCCCGCGGCCGCCGCCGCATCCTGCCCTGGTAGGCCCCTGAGAGCATGAAGTGTCTGGGCACCTTCCTGCCCTTGGTTGAAGCCAAGATCCGCCAGGGTGGTAAGGCCGGCCCATGGATGCACATTCTCTGGCCTTTGTGTAAGGAGCTCACCCATGGGCTGAGGAAGATGGGGGGGCCGTCGGGGACTTCCAGGATCTCCGTAGACAGGGGGAAGGGGCCTCCCTGGGCTAGAATCTCACTCAGCATCAGAGGCTTAATGAAGTGGATGTGTTGAGAGGAAGCGGTGACATCCTCTACATCAACCTCCAGGGTGGACGGGATCTTTACCATGGTTCTGCGCACTGGAGCAGGGAGGTCAGCTTGGGTAGGCAACATTCACCCCCCCGGGGGCACCCCACCCCCTGCAAAGCCCTCCTCTTTCCCCTTCTCTCCTGTCACCATTTCCCAATTGTAGATTCATCACCAGTGTTTATCCCTCAACTTCTTTCTTTAAAAGTTATTACAGAAAATTTTCAACGTTTATGAAAGTAGACCAGTAGAGTGAACCCCCATGTACCTATCACCCAGCTTCAGTGTCTTAACTCCCTTTTCATTTAGGCCCTCATCTAGCTACTGCCCTTCCCCTGGGTTAGTGGGTGTCAGAACAACCACATCATGCTCCGCCTACTTTAATGTGTGATGCTAAAAGGATAATTAAAATGGGGGGGATTACAATGCCATCACCATATCTAAATAATTTGATAATCCCTTAGTATCCAATTCGTTCAGCCACTTCAGTTGAATCATCCATTTAAACCGATGCTGTTCGGCCTCCCTGGTAGCACGGGTTTAAGCCTCAGCACTCTGAAGCCGTCACCAGCCACTGTAGCACAAGTTGGGTCCCCGGCCAGGGAGGTGATCCGCATGGCACAGCGGGCCTCTCCTGGTTCCCCCAGTTTCCCTCAGCAGTGTATTTCAGTAGATCCACCTGCTCTGCTCCCCACTCTGTTAATTCCTCTCACCCTCCACACCTTGGGTCTGTACCCCAGTTCTTCTAAGCAAAAGTAAATAGAAAAAAAATAGACTGGAGGCATCTTAGATTAAATTTCAAATGTCATTTTATAAGCTGCCTTTCTAAATCTTCCCTGAATTTACAAAGATAAAACCAAGTCAAGGAAAACACTCAGTAACCTCAGGCAACTTGTTTCCTCCCTGGGCACTGACTTGTAACCTGGTGAATACTCAGGAAGTGACTGAGGAGGAGGAGGGAAACCAGCCTATCTGCTGTGTTGTTTCCAACACACTTTCAGGATGACCTGTGCTGTCTCATGATCCTGGGCAGCCACTAACCACCGGAACAGCCACCTGAACCCCCACCCCCCAGATGGTGGCCACTATCACTTCCCACCAGGGTCCAGGGCTCCCTGGAGAGAGGGAGCTTCAGCTCCTGGTAAGTGTTCGAGAGGAGCTTGGAACATCTTAAACCAGGAAGCAAGGAAATCTATTCAAGACCATGCAGGGGTGTCCAAAGGATTCAGGTGCCAACTTAAAAGGGCTCCCGCTGGGCAAAGCTGAGACCAAGCAGCACAAGAATGACAGGTTCAGTGGAAGAGTCACTTCATCTCCAAGTTCTTGGTGATAAAATTTCTAGATAATCCCCAGAGTACCCTGGGCAGCTGGGCCTGGCTCCCACCTGACTGCCCACAGCCCTCCTGCTTTGCTGAGCCATGACAGTCACAGCTGTGAGTATTTTGACTGTAGGCTGGTTCCTGGGGGTAGTCTCAGGCCTGACTCAACAGGAAATAAAACAGGTGACAGAGGAGCACTCTGGTGCCAAAACGAGGAAAAGACTACAGGACAAATTGGTCAGTTCTTTCAACAGATAAATTATGAGAAAAGGAAATTATGAGAGAAGGAAAGAACCTGGAGGCTGAAAAAAGACGAGAGACAAAACAGCAGCAATACTGTAGAGCAATACTGTAGATGCTAATAAACTGTCAAAGAAATAAAGCAACACAAATGGGTGTCACCAGTAAGAGGATTAATGATGTGATGGGATTGTGGGTTTGTTAGAAAGTCGTTTTTAAAAAGACGTTACATTAGAGTATCCCAAAATGATATACCTGGGTTTACTTTGAAATCAGGTAGGGTGGGATGTGGGGGTGGGGGAGTGAAACGGCATCTGTTGCAAGTTGCGGGGGATGAGAGGATTCACCAGAGAAAGTGGGGAGCAGAACAGGCAGGTTGACAAAGTACACCGCAGGAGGGTCAGGAACAGTCTGCCGCGCCATGTGGATCAGTTCCGTGGCCAGGAATCGAACTCATGCTGCAGTGGCTGCGATAGCTTCATAGTGCTGAGACTTAACCCCTGTGCCACCAGGGAGGCCACTCCTAAATCCTAAAGCAGCACACAACTGATCTAACCGCTTTTGCTGAACTACGCATGAAACAGCTGGAGGGGCACAGGAGCAACGACCCTTGAACCGAGTCCCAGCTGGCTGCGGTCTGGGTAGCATGGGAGAGGGGGCCGCGGGCGTCTTCCCACAGAAACACCCCAGCTATCTGAAAAGGCTGCTTCCCCCTGCACTGATGGGGCAGCCCTGTACCCAGCAAGCAACTTCAGCATTTATTTGCCCCTAGCCCTCTCCTTAGCCAATAAAATTTAACTTCTTTATTCCCAATCCTGGCCCCCATAAACTCCCCTTTCTTAACTGGGAAGGCGGAGTTGAGTATTTTTCCTACTTCACTGCCAATAAACTCTCAAAAGTCGTGCCACAATAATCGGCGTCAACACATGCCCGGCATCAAGGGCATCGCGAGGTAACACACCTGCTTCATACAGACTTGAGTTTTTCCATCATAAAGTAGTTTTTAGGGGGACGAGAGGCCTCGTGTATAGCGAGCCAGCAGCCCTGACCTACTGCTCTGTAAGTCACTGGCAGGAACTGAGACCAGACCCTGCGCCCGCGGCGCCGGCCCCGTCCGTGCCTCTGCGCACGCGCGGCCTCCGGCTGGGCCGACCTGGTCAGGTGCTGCCTCCGCTGCACCCACCTGCCCTGCCCGCCGCCGCCGCCTGCCCCAAAGCACGCAGGAAACAGCTGGGGTTCACACAGACAGTGCCCTCGGCACCCAGACGGGGTCCTTAGGAACAGTCCTCTCGCCCTGCCCTGGAGCGTGGGCTAGGGTTAACTATGGTATGCGTGTTTGCTGTGTCATTAGGTGTTATCATGGTGCATGTTTCTCCTGAGCGAATGGTCATGGTTTTGTTGTCGTGTCCTGTTTCTTTGCATCTCTTAAGCCCACAGTCTAATATCTCCCCAATTTTTATGAAGTAAAAAGTGGGGCTTCCCTTCATTTTCCAGTATCCATTGTCCTGCCTCCTTTTATCGCTACCTATTTATTTCCGCCGACTCGGCGGACTCGGTATATGCCTGGTGAGCCCCGGGGTGTCAGACCCCTGGGGGCGGAGAGGGCGCATCAGAGCCGCTCCCGGGCCCCTGTTCCCTCCGCACCCACCACACCCACCTGCCCAGGCAACTCACTGTGCATGATGGCGTGGATCTCATACTGGGGCCTCAGGATCAGGGAGCGCCAGGGGAGGGTTGGGCAGGTGAAAAGGCGGTCACTCAGGGCCGGGTCCTGCAGGGCCTCGAGCAGAGTCCGTGGGGCACCAGGTTCCCATCTCCAGAACGGCCCCCTCTGGGACAGGGGCAGGTACACCACGACCCCCTGCTTCTGCGTGTTCAGCACACAGCGGGCGTAACAGATCCCGGAGTGCGTTTCCGTGGCCTCGAGTGTGAGAGGCTGGTCCCCCGGCACCACCCTGGCCTCCGTGGTGATGCTGTGGGTTGACATGAAGTCAATGGGCAGCTGTGAGGAGTTCTGGGTGGCAGCAGAAACCAGCTCCTCCAGGGTTCCATAGCTCTGGGGGCCAGCCAGGGGGGTGAAGGAGCCTGTGGGGTGCAGTAGAGGGTGTCAGAATGGGACAGGCCTTTGCTAGGTCGAGAGTGGCACTTACCAGCCGCCATCCAGTCACAGAAAACCCCACCAGCAGCCCCAGATAGGTGCCAAGGAAGCCCAGCATCAGGACAGGGAGAGGCAGGCCCCAGTGCCTGCAGGCAGCAAGGAACAGCATCAAGCAGGTGCAGGGGTGGGGCTGGGCGGGGGGTGGGGCAGGGGGGCAATTCTTTCTCACACAGCAGACGCAGAGACGTGGCCAGGGACGGCACAGAGCACAGGACGGCAGACTTTCCCATCTCCCTGCCTCTGCCTCGGCCTCCAGATACCTCTTCATCGCTCCAATTCCTCTTACTGACACCTAGCACCCCACCTTGGGCCAGCATCATTGTCTGTCTCCCCCAAGTGGGAACTGAGGAGCTACTGGCTAGGTGACCACCCCCCTGAACCCCTACATCTCGTCCTCCAATTTTGGCTGCTTGTCCAACTTCTCTCCCCCCGAGCGGTCTTTGCCCAGCCCCAGGACTGGCCTAAACCTGCCCCCCAATACACACCGAAGCAGAACTTTGCTACATTTTCCCACCCTAAACAGGTAACGTGAATCTAATCAAGGAAACTTCACACAAACATGGACAAGGGACATTCCACAAATGTCCCTCGTGGCACAGGGGCTAAAGACAGCACTATCAAGCTGTCGCCAGCCGCTGTTCGGTCTCTAGTCTGAGTTCAATCCCCGCCAGGGAGGTGACCCACAGGGCACAGCAGACCTCGCCTGTCTCCCTCGGGTGCTCCCCTCAGCAGTGTACTTCGTTGGTCTGCCTGTTCTGCTCCCCGCTCTCTCTGGTGAATCCTCTCACCACCACCACCCCACCTCTGGACTGTACCCAGCTCTTGTATGCATAAATAAATAAATCTTTAAAAAAAATAACAGTACTGGTCTGGACATTGCCAAAATGTCAGCATGAACACAAAGGTGGAGGACACAGACAAAGGACAGCTGTGTGTGGGTTTATCTGGGGTCCAGGCAGGCTCGGGGGAAAGGGCCCCGCAGGTCATTTTGAAGTCTGGACAGACTGCGTCCAACAGGCATAGTGTGTCAATATTTCCTGAATTTGATCACCAAATTCTAGTTTCATGGATGGATGTTCTTGTTTTTAGGGGGACACACTAAATAGTAGGAGTAATAATTAAATGTAAAAGGGCATCACATCTGCAGTTATCCTCAAATGATGATGTATATGCACACACATGTAACATGTTCTTTTGTGTGTGTACAGAGAAAGCAAATGTAATACAATGTTCGAAACTTGGTGAATTTGGATAAAAGATGTATCACAGTTCTAGCAGGTCTTCTGTAAGTTTTATTTTTATTTATTTTTAAAGATTTATTTATTTGTGCATACAGAACTGGGGTACAGGCCAGAGGTACAGGGGCAGTGAGAGGCTTCACCAGAGACAGAGTGGGGAGCAGAACAGGCAGATCTATGAAGTACACTGCTGAGGGAGCAGCGGGCGGGTCAGGAGAGGTCTGCCACGCCATGTGGATCTCCTCCCGGGCAGGCGGGGATTGAACTCATGCAGAAGTGGCTTTAGCCTCTTAGTGCTGTGCTTTAACCCGCTGCACCACAGGGAGGGCCCATTTATTATTTTTTTAAAGATTTATTTATGCACACAAGAACTGGGGTATAGGCCAGAGGTGTGGGGGGTGAGAGGATTCACCAGAGACAGACTGGAGAGCAGAACAAGTGGATCTACTGAAATTATTACTACTGCTGAGGGAGCAGCAGGCGGGCCAGGAGAGGTCTGCTGTGCCCTGTGGTCACCCCCTTGGCCGGGGATCAAACTCACGCTGCAGTGGCTGTGGACAGCTTCACAGTGCTCGCCTTAACCCCCTGTACCACTAGGGAGGGCCCTTCTATACTTTTTAAATGATTTCAAAAGAGAAACTAAATCCTCAAAATACAAAATAAAGCACACCACATTTAAAATCCCCGCCGGCTCCTCAGTATCTTCCAAAGCAGGTACTGACCAGAATGTGTCTGGACTCACACCTGCTCCCAGGAGGCCGCTCCTGCTCTCCCGGCCCAGCTGGGCGGTGTGGGGAGGCCTCACTGAGCTGTGCTCCTCCCGCTCTAAGTTCTTCCGGCAAGGCAGCTCGTAATCCTCACATCCAGCCTGACCGCCTCTCCGAGGAGGAAGCTGAGGCATGGGAAGGTCAGGGAACTTGCCGAGGCCTAGAGCTGGCGGAGGGGGTGCCCAGCCCAGCCACCAGCTTCAGCACGCAGGCCCTGCTACCAGCCTCCTGGGATAGCTGGGAATCGCTGCTGATCTGCACCTGCTGCTCCTGATCCTGCATTCAGGCGCCACCTCCCCCAGGAAGCCTGCCCAGGCCCTGCAGCAGGCTACACCCGCCCCAGCCCTCCCTGAACTTCCGCTGTTTACTGTCCGCTTCTACTGGTGGCCTCTGCAACGCCGTCCTGGACGCTCGTGCCGGAGAAGCCTGCAGCTGCTTGGCCCCCAGCAGCCAGCCTGGCCCACGGTGGAGTTTCAGACATGTTCGGTGAGTGAATGCGTGTGCAAGCACAGGGCAGATACCAGACAAAGGCCTGAACAGAGTTCCAGCCCAGAGGCAGAGATGACCAGAGAGCTGAGCGGGCGGTGAGAGGGACGCGGAGTGGCCAGCCTCGGGGGCACCTCAGGCCAGCCAAGGACTGCCCGGCCTGGAGGCCCGGGCAGGTGGTGAGAGGCATGAGTGTGGGCCGGCCCGGGAGCCGACGGCTGTGGACGTGTCGTCTGGAGACGGACACCAAGGCCTTACCCTGGAAGTTGGGGGTGAGCTCCATGGTCTGCCGGGTCCCTGGGTTCTCGCAGACCACATTCTTGAGGCAAATCTGGGTGACCTTGATCAGGTCCCCTGTGGAGAGGCAGCACTCATTCCCAGAGATCTCGTAGATGGAGCCTGTGGGAACAGACTCAGTTTCCCCATTCAGCAAGGGCCAGGCACCGCTGGTCTGTGCTCCATCCCCAGCGAGCTCTGCTTTGCCCCCTCAGTGGGCTCCGCCCCCCGGCCTCCCTGTCTCCCCGCCGACGGCCCCCCGGCCGCTGTGTCAGCTAGCACGGGGACGACGCTTTGGAGTCTGGGCGCTGGTCTCCCCGCTGGGCCCCTTTGCCGCCTTCGTCACACCTGCCCGCTGGGCTGATTCCTGTCAGCGTCATGCCGCAGGCAAGGGCCTGGCCTGTGAGTACATGTTGAAGCCATGGAGGGAACAGACTTACAGCGGCTGCAAAATCAGGCCCAGAGAGTGTTGTAACCCTCCCGCGGTCGCAGGCCACCACTTCAGGGTGAGGCCACCGGCAAGTTCTGAACCCCACCCACAGCACCCCGGCCCTGCTTTCTCCGAAGCAAGCTAACGCACTTAGAAGCAGCGTCTGGAACACAGAAGGTGCTCAACAGACCTCTCGGGGAGGGCAGGAGGTCTCCATCCTGCCAAGGGGGCACAGGAAAGAACCGGCAGGCGAGAGCCAGGCCACTGAGCCCACCCACCCCGCCCTTCGCCACAGCCCCGAGAAACCGGTGAAGAGCCCATCCCTGTTCCCTGGTGAGCTGGGCACGCTCCGCACAGTTCCGGGCCCGGGTGGTGAAGGGAGCAACTGCTGCACACCGGGTTCCCGGCAGGCGCTCAGCTCTGCAGACCAGCCACCGCTCTGGGGACCCGTGACTGCCCTAAATGACCATTTCCCTTTCCTGAATGACACCAAGACTTGTGAGACTGAGTGGGTTGCCAAAGAGGATCTGGGAACAGGAGGCAGAGTGGGGGCTCCTGGGGTTGCTAACGGCCGGCCGCCCGCCCTCAGCATCACGGCTGGCTCCTCCGCGCTCACCCCCATCTCCTCTCACCCTGACTTTCCACAGCCCATCGCCCCTTCAGGCAGAATGACGCACAGGTCACTAGGACAGACACACCCCAGGGAGGAGGTGCTGGAGGATGGAGGACCCCTGCCTGGGGCGGGGGGCGCAAATAAAGCGGGGGGCCTGCAGGAAAGCCGCTTTCGAACCCAGGGGGGTCAGATCCCCAAGGGGGGCCCAGCAAGCCCCACTCTGGTGGTCCTCCTGGGCCTTATCCTTGGGCCCCACTTGGGGCCTCAAACGCTACTGGACGCTCTGGTGGCAAGACCAGGACAGAACAGGAGCAGCCTGGACAGGGGCGCCAGGCCCTGACCGCCCCAGGGGGAGGCGCCCGCCCCTCCACCACCCACCCATCCCGGTCACTCCACCCACCCGTCCCCGTCAGGTTCCTCTTGCCTCATCCTGCTCCCAGTTCCTCTCACCCTGGGGCAGCCCTGGGTGCCATCTGCCCAGCAGCGGCCTCTCTCCCACCACCTGTCAATCACCCGAGCCCCTGAGCACCCCCAGCCCTGGCCAGCCGCCCCGTGTCTCCTGCCAGGAGTGGGGACAGCCAGGCCGGCTCCCTGAGGGGAGGCCAGTGAGACCAGAATGGAAGAACTAATCAGGTCAAGTGGTGTCCACCGTCAAGGGGCAGGGCAGGGTCAAGGTGGGAGGGGCCCTGCAGCGAGGCTGTGCAGGTGGGCTCAAAGGGTAGGGGCGAGGGCGAGGACGCTGTGGGGACGACTCCTTCTTTCATTTTTTCCTTTTCATTTGTTGTGATCTGGTTCTTAAAGTCCCAGTAACACCTGCCACGAGCGCCCTAGCCCTAGTCCCGCCGCGGGCATCACTGGCACAGCCCTGCCCGCCCCGCCCCGCCACCCTGCACCACCAAAGAGGGAGCAGTTCCCCCAGGGCTTGGCGGAACCTTCCTCTGTGCCCGGTTTCACTGTCTTCCCATCACCACCCTGCGGGGCGATCGGCGACCCCCATTCCACCCATGCAAAAGCCGAACCCCCCAAATATTAAGCGTGACCCCCACCTAACAGCTTGCACAGTGGCAATGCTGGGATTCGAACCCGGGAAGCAGTTTTCTGAGTTTTCATGCCCCACACC